CTGTCAATTCCTGGAGCCTTGCTTTTCACCAGTGACTTCGATGCAGCTTGGACTTCTTCCTTCAGTACCATCGGTTCCTGATGATATGCTACTTCCTAAAATGGTTGAACGTCAACCAGTTCTTTTTGGTACAATGACTATGTGCATTCCTCCCATCTTCTTTTGATACTTTCTGCCTTGTTCAATATTTTGCCCATAGAATCCGTCAATATTGCTACTCGAGGCTTGAATTTTTTCTTCAGTTCTTTCAGCTTGAGAAATGCTAAGCATGTTCTTCCCTTTTGGTTTTCTAACTCCAGGTTTTTGCACATGTCATTATAATACTTACTCTGTCTTCTAGAGCCGCCTTTTGAAGTCTTCTGTTCAGCTCTTTTACTTCATCACTTATCCCATTCACTTTAGCTATTCTACATTCAAGAGCAAGTTTCAGAGCATTTTCTGACGTCCATTTGGTCTTTTCTTTCTTTCCCGTCTTTTTAATGACCTTTTGCTTTCTTCATGTATGATGTCCTTGATGTCATCCCATAACTCATCTGGTCATTCCTCATTAGTGTTCAATGCATCAAATCTATTCTTGAGATGGTCTTTAAATTCAGGAAGGACATACTCAAGGTTGTACTTTGGTTCTCATGGATTTGTTTTAATTTTCTTCAGCTTCAACTGGAATTTGCATATGAGCAATTGATGGACTGTTCTGAAGTTGGTCCCTGGCCTTGTTCTGACTGATGATACTGAGCTTCTCCATTGTCTCTTTCCACAGATGTAGTTGATTTAGATTCCTGTGTATTCCATCCAGTGAGGTCCATGTGTATAGTCGCCATTTATGTTGTTGAAAAATGATAGTTCCAATGAATAATTCATTGGTCTTGCAAAATTCTATCATGTGATCTCCGTGTTCGTTTCTATCACCAAGCCCATATTTTTCAACTGCTGATCCTTCTTTGTTTCCAACTTTTGCATTCCAATCACCAGTAAATATCAATGCATCTTTATTGTATGTTTGATCAACTTCAGACTGCAGAAGTTGGTAAAAATCTTCAATTTCTTCATGTTTGGCATTAGTGGTTGGTGTGTAAATTTGAATAGCAGTCATATTAACAGGTCTTCCTTGTAGGTGTATGGATATTATCCTGTTACTGACAGCATTGTACTTCAGAAACATCTTGAAATGTTCTTTGTGACAATAAATGCAATGCCATTCCTCTTCAATTTGTCATTCCAGGCATAGTAGACCATATGATTGTCTGATTCAAAATGGCCAATGCCAGTCCATTTCAGCCCACTAATGCCTAGGATATCGATCTTCAAGCATTCCATTTTATTTTTGACAACTTTCAATCTCCTTGATTCATACTTTGGCATTCCACCTTCTGATTACTGATGGATGTTTGCAGCTGTTTCTTCTCATTTTGAGTCAT